GAGTGAGATGAAAACAACTGGGATTTCGACGCCGACGACGACGGGGGCTCGGTGAGTGACTGGTGATGCCCTGCGTTGGCCGCTCTATAAACAATCATGTTTGAACGTTTTCCTAGTTTCAATCGTACGTGGCATCGTGGATGACGGCCATGAGCTTGGCTTCGGCGATTTTGCGCTTGTGTGTGTGCACCATGGCCTTGAGCTCGTCCTGCAGAGCCTGGACGCGAACGTAAGCTTGGTCGAGACTGTCTTCCAGCGATGCCACCACTTGGTCCAGCTCGAGGGTCTCCAAGATGAAGTACCCCCGCACAAACTTGTCCAGTTGCAAGATCCGTGCACCGATGCCTCCCGCGCGATCTTGGCGTTGTCGATGTCCGTCACGACGGCCGAGACGATGGACTGCAGCAACGAGTTGAGCGTGGTGACGATTCTGAGGGCGTTATCTCCTTCGTCGAAAGACGAGAGCAGCTTCTGGAACGACGCCACGTGGCTCCGATCGGTGGGCACTCGATGGACTTTGGGGTTGGCTTTGACCATGGACGACGTCAACGACGCCCTTCGAAGCTCCCCCCCAATTGAGGAATGTACATCGACACTTTGGACTTGAGGGACATGGCGGCGGCAGACACAACCGCCTGGGGCGACGATCCAAAGTCCGAGACGTGGCACTGCAACGATGATGGCTTCAACCTCTCTGGCTCGGGCGTGTCCGGCACCGACAGCCGATGGGACATGAGCGGTAGTAGCCGTGACCGTTTCAACAGTTACCCCGTCTTGCGTACTGCGGTACGAGCTCAAGGCAGACTCCTGTATACAGTACTACATAGTAAGTTGATAAGAACAATCAGAGGTTTACCTTCACGATGGATTCGGATAAATGCAGATCAGTGTCTCACTCGTACCTCAAGTATTACGCAAGACGGTGTCGCATTTTGCACCTACATACAACTATTACGCCTCCAAAGGCTGTCGTCCGGTCGAAATAGCACGTGAGAGGTCACGAGCCTTTGTAGATGGCTCAAGTGAACAAGTTTAATTCGATCCAGTAACGTTTGAGTCTTGCAGGGTGCAGGGTACTGCATAGCTTGTGTCAGTCGCGGGGTTGTCGCCATCCTCGGTTCTGCAAGAACGATTTGGCATCCCGACAATGCTAGTAGTAAGTACTACGGTACTGTAGTCGTACTTTCTGGAACTCCAATCAGATTTAGGTAATCCAGTTCTGGATGAGCTGCGATGACTACTAATCACAAATTTCGCAATTCAATCCGTGTTCACGTCCGTGAGAAAATGACACGGACACGACCACGGACACGGATTAACTGTAAATTTAGACGATTTCGCTGTATAAATAGAATTCCCGTCCGGAACAAACATAAGGAATCAGCCACTTTGCAATGATGCTGTCTGTGGAAGAACTTGCCATAGCTTACAAACGTTCTCGCCGTTGTCGCAGACTTCTGCCCGCACTCATACGGTCGGTCGACACCACCATACAAATACACAGAATCCTTCTGGAACTTTTCATGGTTGTCGAGTGTCAGGTGGAACCTGTGCGATGCTTTCTTACCGTCAACTTCGAGTACCTGGCAAGAGAAGCCAGGAACTTTAACTCCCCTAGGGCCAAAAGCAAGTTATACGCGATCACACACCCCAAGACCAGTATCAACCTGTATTGGCTGTATCAACATCGCCAAGTCATCCTCGCTTGTCCACCGAATTGAACCCCTCCTGTTCGGTCGGATAACCACTAACGTTACTTAAATATTTCTTATGATTACCGTGGAATCCGTGATAGCTGCTCTTTTCACGGATTCCGCTATAAAGTTTCATGAGTTTCCGTGATGGTACTAAATACAGAGGGTAATTATTACGGAAACGGACACGGATTACTTTGCGAAATCTCTCTTACAGGGAAATTATGTATATATGAACTATTGCTAGCAAATACTAGTACTACGTAGTAGCCCGGAACTGTATTCGTTGGTGCACACCGATGTACACACAAACATCTCTAGTACATCAACTACGCCCGCGCTACCGCAACGTGCGACTACACCTCGTCGTACTGCCCCAGGCAGGCTTCCGAAATAATATATTTTTGCGACTATCCAAAATGGTGCCTCGGCCAATAAATTTCACGATATTCGACGACCTCGATAATAAATAATTGTTTGCTAATGCAAAATATCGATAATTGTTCAAATGTTTTACTTCGTATTACACAAGGGAATAAACATTCCAATACGATGCATTCGCGCTAAGGAATATGATCATCTCGAAAATCATCGGATGCATGTGCTTTCTATGGTCTGTCATGATGCACTTTTCGACGCTGAAGAGCCGTTCATCCATGTTGCTCGTTGAACCGACTAACCTTAACTTCAAGCAGCTGTACTGTACTTGCTTGCTGTTGGTCCCATTCGGCGACGTTTTGGAGCCAAAAGTTTGCCCGCGCAGCTCAACGGCGTGCTGGGGACTGCAACAGTGCCGGGAAAAGCATATTTGAAATGGTTTTTGATATATTTACACGTGCCGTTACAAAAATGGTGTGCATACACGTGGTAATGGTATGCTTACACGTGGAGGAGCATTTGCGCCTGTTGGAGCATTCACACGTGGATATATTGATCACAAATATTAACAGTTTTTAAATAATCTGAGCAGTGCGGTATGGAATGTTCCGTATGCCATCTACACATTATGTCTTCTCGACACATGTCGCGTTCATCGCAAAAAACTATACCTCGTCCATTCCTTGGCCAAACACACTGATTCTTGGACTGGTGTCATCGCTGAGGGATGCCCTCAGCAGTCTCACATACATAGTGAAAGACCGACTCTCCAACGTCGGTGTCGACCACCTCGCGCCGTCGACCATGGCGGCACCACGACACATACAAACTACTACATCTCGGCCATTCCTTGGCCAAAACCACTCAATCTTGGACTGGTGTCACCGCTGAGGGATGCCCTCAGCGGTGGTACCGGTCCCACATACATAGCGAAAGACCGACTTGCCTATGTCAGTTCCGAAAACCTCCAATCCCAAACAACTATATGCATTAAGAATGGTGAGCACTTTATATTGTGTTAACCTATATGAGCACTTCACGCCGTGGATCGGTTGGCTTCTTCGCCTCAGGAGTGGTGGATGCAGGTGTAGCGGCGGCTTTGCGCATGGACACTCTTTTCCTTGGCGCGGTTGAACCTTGCGGCTCATTGAATTCCGTCGTCGTTGCTTTGGCTACGTCAGACACTAATGTGGATGTCGCTACCAATGAAGGAAGCAGCGCGTTCGATGATCCTTGCACCAGTGTGAGAAAAACCTAGGGATACCTAGGAACGGTTTCACCCAAAACGTCGGTCTGTTGGCTTATTGTTCTATATTTTCTTCAGTGCAATGATGGGTCGTCACTGGAACAAGTAACGAAGGTACCAGTCATCATTGCTTAATCTACAGTGCGATGGAGTTGAGCGCGAGCAGCAGTGGTTCCGATGTGGGTGATGCTCTTGCTTGGGAAGATGCATCCATGGTCTCCGAGCGAAGTGACCAACAACGACGCAATTCAAGCAAGCAATGGACAAGTATAATGCAGTTTGGCAGCTTTCACGACGCAAAGGACTACCTCAACATCTCTACCTCATTCAGGTATGATTGCTAGAACAGCTAGCCGCTAACGCTATGTTAGGTATAAGCACAGTCGGAACTACAAGTCATCAGACGTGAGGAAGGTGTACGTATATGTTTGCTGCAGCCACTTGGAATGCCCCCACGAACTTCGAATTGTTGCTGAGCAATCCTACGCCAACCTTGAAGACTCCGGCCTGGAACATGCAGCCGAACAAGATGACGACTCAAGCGGCATCCACCCTCAAGTTCGCCCTGAAATCGATCGGTAGCTGAGATGTGGCTTTACACCAAAAAAACTCGAAGTAAATTTTCTTTGTAATTGCCTTAAATAGCTGTACGACCTAGGTTGAGCTATATGAAGTACACCGTGACAACCCAGACGTGTTGAATAAGCTCCCCACAAGAACTCAGATAATGACTCGTCGCGCAAGAAAAGTGGAGGCTGGGAAATCTCCAATTTGGCTGATTTGATCACGTGGGGACAAGCACATCTCTGCGCAACCAAGGAGTCATTCTTCGATCGCGAAGAAACATTCGTGTACGAAGAATTCATTGAGCTCGACAACGCGTACAGGTTAGTTGAACGTTGTAGTTACGTTTGTGTGGACCTGTTTACGTGTTGTGGTAGGCACAAATTGATTGTCCTTGACATTATCGAGGGCACATTCACCAGCGACAGCGTCGAAAGTACGTACGCTGGGTTAGTCGTGACGTCCCGGCAAAACATGTGGAACATTGCATGGGCGAGAGACCGTCAAGGCGACAGTTTGACCATTGCAACTGATGGAACTTACAAGCTTCACTTTGGTATTGTGTGAAATCTGTAGATATTTGCATAATCGATGACTTATACAAACCAGGTGGTTGGACGTTGATAGATTTGGGCGCTGTGTACACGCGATACACGAGTGGTTCTTTTCGGCACCGCTTCCTACCGTGGACGTATATATTTGTACGAGTGGAATGCGAAGAGGTGTACTTCAAGCTCTTTGACGTGACCGCCACGAAGTTTGAGGAATTCTTCGACACTAACCTCATTCCTGCCACAGCATCGATCGACCATACACGAGTCGTGCTACGTTCACATGAAGCGTAATGTACACAAGCACAAGAAACTACTGAGGGAATCGAACAACTATTCACGTGTCAAGGTGGACATAGAGCGTATGTGGCTTGCCGGTCGCACCACCAGTTTCACGTGATTGCCGCCATTTGCCTGTCGGAATGGATGGTCGATCTAGGCGAAATCGAGTTGTCGACATGGTTTCGTGATGTATACCTTTCTCCGCCGTGGGACCAGTGGTTTTCAACAGCGTCGAACTGTCCAGGAGTTATGCCGCATCAGCAGCATATCGAAAGTCATCACAAAAGCATCAAAATCGTACGAACACGTCAGCATTGTGATACTCATTGTACTCGTATAGGTATACGCACATGAACTCAGAGCAACAACAAGCGTGGTTCTCGAACATACACTCCCTCGCGTCCTTGTATCGGATGGACTTGAAATCAACACCTCGCCGGACTTATGGGACGAGTCACCAGTGTCAACAACAATATTGGAGAAGGCGCTGCTTGTTGAACAAGTCAGCCACCTGCATCAAGTTGCGGCGTCAACAGTTCTCTTCAACAGCACCACCCATATGCGCAAGAAGATAACGAGCACTCGTTCAAAAGCTACTCCCACAACTGTTACTATGTCATTTTGGCTTGCGTAGAGATACTTGGTGTCAATCGACGAAACCCAAAATGGCCTCGTACCAACAACCGACAAGCAAAGAAATGATCTGTGTTTGAGTTTGCACCGTATTCAAATCGACGATGAAGTCGAAATTCGTTCTGATATGTCATCGTTACAACCCTTCTCCCATGTTGAGGTAACATTAATCACATTCCATAGTAGCAATGTTTAAATATATGTATATATATAGTAGCAATGTTTAAATATATGTATATATATAGTAGCAATGTTTAAATATATGTATATATATAGTGTGGAGAAATCCGAGAAAAATTCAAGTGCGACTGTCCAGGCTATTTTTCTTCGGGATGGCTCTGCTCCCACGTTGTCGCGTGTTTGTCCCTGTTTCATGGATTCGACATACAACTGCGTCTTCGGCGACTTCCCGTGCGAAAGAAGTCTGGCCGTCCGACAAAAAAAACCCACAGCCTCACCGTTGACACGCGACAACATGAGTTTCGGGTCGACACGCTTCTGGCTCGGATTGAAGGCAGGCCATTTACAATCGTAGGATTCAAGTGTTCCACAAACTTCAAGATACTGGCATCAGATGAGCCTACAAGCAAGTGGGTACAATCTTGTCGTACCTTCCCGCACAAAAGCGTTGGACGGCAGAATTTGTGATAGGCGAGCACACCAAACAACTTGTAACGTGACCGACCAGTGATGGGCCGAATGTTCAGTGATGTGCCGATTTATTTCATCCAATTAAATCGTTCGAGCTGTATTATTGGACAAAACAGAACCTCTCGTGCCAATAATCTTGTAAAAGTTTATGGTGGGAAAAATTATTATATGTAAAAGGTTTTCGAGTTTGATTTGACATCCACATGCCGCCTCGACGCCGTACACTGACGACACCCTGAGAGCAGCCGTTCACAGTCCTATCCAAAGCCCATTAGGTAGAGTAATTATCCACACGAATTTTCCAATCCAATTTCCCTGAAAATCCTTCGGGGAATACAGGTACAAGTAAGCAGAACTACCGCTGTGTTTGTTATTGCAGCACTTCTGGAGCACCTACTGTACCAGTACTGTAGTGCACACCTCCCAATGTTTACGCATATCAACAACCCTGTGTACAGTACTGTACTGTAGTAGGTGTAATGCGTGCAGTTTGTAGTTGGATGGGCAGGTAGCAGCAGCAGACAGATGAGTAGTTGAGGGGAGAACCGGAAGTGAATTAATTCTGACGGCAGAGGAGAAACTGGCTCTAGATGTGCCAGTTCCTCCAACAGCCAATCAAATCTTCGATTATGATTGGCCACGACATCCTGTGATGTTTCGTGACGAATCTTCGCTGTCTTCTACTCTGAGGAAAGCCTCTAGAAGGCACAAAAACCTCCTACACAGCTAGCAGACGCTGCTACCTGACTGACAGGGCAGTGGGGATGTTCTCTAGAAGAACAGGGTGTTCTGACTTTTGTGATCATGCACCATCCCCATTTACTGTGCGGTATAAGTACACTGTAGTGTGCGTCGTGCCGACGTACAAACATGGTCGCTTTGACGAGGTCGATAAACACAGGGATAGGATGTACTTGTTGGCTGGTTTACGTTCGGCACTATTCCACCGCTCGCCTACGTTATCCTCGCTCATCTACTAGTACGTCCTACAAACTGTACCGCTCATCTACGTTTGGTTCTTTCCTCACTCCTCTTGACAGGATTTCATGTGTGCTGTCTAGGCACCGATCCCTACATGTGGGTATTTGACCCACATGCTGAACATTGCCACGTGGTACGGTTTAGTGTCCGAATAAGAGAGAATGTGCAGTACAGTTCCGCAATATATTATTCCTGTTCAAATATAATATACCTTTATCATTTTACAAATTCCAGTCTGCTCGCCTGTTTTTTACACAACCCTAATCCATACTTACTTCAAGTATAAAATTCGGTACATTACTGGTCATCAATGTAAATTTTGCAACTTGCGAAATTATTTACGTCATCGTGAACTGTCTAAATACATTGTGTTTAGGTGTATATGACAGATCTTGACGAGCTCTTTCGGGCGAGGTCCACCGCATCGCCTTAGTATAAATACTTGACGAGGAATTCACGAAAGAAAAAAGAAAAAAATCGGCCCATCACTGGTCGATCACGTTATTGACAGAGCGAGGTGCTGCCCAAGCCGTGCACGATGCTTTCGTAGGTGGAGTCGATGTCGATGGCAATGTCTCGTTAGAAATTTAATACATAGTTCTACATCATTGCAAGTTGGTTTACGAGTTCTCTTTATACCAGCAAATTCTTCGGCGAGGTGGCCAAGGAATGGCCGAGATAGAGTAGTTTGTCGCGAGATGTTCGACACCGACGTTGGCAAGTCGGTCTTTCGCTATGTATGTGGGACTGGTACCACCGTGAGGCATCCCTCAGCGGTGACACCAGTCCAAGATTGAGTGGTTTTGGCCAAGGAATGGCCGAGATGTAGTAGTTTGTATGTGTCGTGGTGCCGCCATGGTCGGCGGCGCGAGGTGGTCGACACCAACGTTGGCAAGTCGGTCTTTCACTATGTATATGGGATTGGTACCAGTCCAAGAATCAGTGCGTTTGGCCAAGGAATGGCCGAGATGTAGTAGTTTGTGTGTGTCGAGGGCATCCCTCAGTGATGGCACTAGGCCATGAATACGGATGGGTCGAGGTAGAGTAATCCAATAATCCAACATGTATCTATATTTGATCGCATGGCCAAAATCATGTGGGCTTCACGCTTACTGCGTAGTACTGTAACTTGTCGAGTACGCTGTTGGATTATTTGCGCGGTCTACAGGCAACTATTTTTGACCGGAAATTATACCACGTACAAACCGTCCAAATTGGCGTACGTAGATTGAAACACGTGCAAATATACCACCTAAATTTAACCACGTGCATGCACACGAAAAACCACGTGCAAAAATTCCACACCCAACAGTGCCAGGGTCCAACAGGAACATGACCAATGCATCCTTCACATCAGCAGTCAGCTCGTCTTCGCGAAGTTGAGGATAATTGGACGAAGCTTGAAAATAGTTATCGATATCTACCGGCACAGAAAATAGGTCATTGCATCCAACGTCACATGAGAAATAGATTATTTTTTCTATCTTAACGTTATCTAAATTATCTTCTCAAAGATATATTAACGTTAAGTGCGAAATCTGCCCCCAGGCAGTTGTGGAAAACTGAGTTGGATGTCCATTTTCTGCCCAAATCTTCGAAATTTTAACCAATAAAATCATCGCGGCTATTTGTTGGCGATTTTTATAATGGCTCACAATTGGCAAGTTCAACCGGAAAGCACAATAATCCAAACTCAATTAACGTGACGGATCAGTGATTTGCCGATTTTGAGCTCCATTGAATCGACCATATCTGGCGAAGTTCAAATGATCTCGACGTGAAAGCTGCAGTGCCGAACACACCTTTGTGAGCTTTATCTCATCGTCCGAAGACAAATCAAGCATGAGAGTTTGAATCAGGGCAAATAAAATGTTAAAGTTAGGCGCTCAAACAGGCGATCGGTGATTTGCCGAAATTTAACCTTGTATTCAGTATGGGAATTTTACGCCTTCAATGAAACAAAATTATTGATTTATAGAGCAATATTATATGTATGCAGTAATAATATTTTACAGGTCGCCTTGATTTGACTGTGAAAACAGGCGAGCCCCTCTTTAAGTTTGTACTATTCCCACCATAAGGTTTTGAAGGTGATAGTTGTTGCAGGCTTTTATTTTATCCAATCATATCAATTCTTAAATTCTATAAGTATTGGGTAATGCAGCTCGGCAAATTACCGATCTTTCGGCAAATCAAAGATAACCACATTTCATAACTGGATTGGTGTGCACATTAGTTGTATTGGGTGACTGCAAATATCTCGTAATTGCCTCTCGCAAACAAATGTGCGAGTCCGGATAACATGATAGTTTTTCGTGCAACGACTTAGATTACACACTATCACCACTTTTCGTTGGTTCTCTATCATTCATGCTTTCCTCAGTCTTAGAAGTTCCCGTCTTTGCTCGCGCTCGTCGTCGCCAACCAAGTATAACCATGATACGCATTTCGCACAGGCACAACATGGTATACCATGTATCGTTCTGGTCACATTCCATCCTTTCTCACCAGTGTCATTAACTCCCGATGCGTTTGACGACCTGCTCCATGTGTTTGCCACGGAGTATACGGTACTACACTGCTGCGGTGGAACACAATACCCTTCAAGAGATCTTTGGCGTCCCACCATCTACGTTTGCCCGTGTCCTTGCCAAAGCAGACGAGGCTCGGTGTAATGGCCATCGATACGTGTTCAACAAGAATGTGCCATACTGACGAACGAGCGTGAACAGCTTGTTGAAGGGGTGTTTGCTTTCGTTGACGGAAAGAACTATCGCGTGTAGGCCATCAGCAGCGTTGACCTTCAGAATGTGCACTATAACGGTGGTTCTGTGATGTGTACTGCATGTTCCTCATGTCTAACTAGGTTGGCTGCACTCTGTCTTCTTTTGCTTTGGTGTCGATGGGACAATCATATGAGCCAAGCACAACTGTGCTGGCTCGTGGAACGATGGGAAGTCAGCCGTCAACTCCAAGCACGCTTGGATGATGAACGTTTCGTTGGCCCCCGGATGTTGGAAGGGTTACCACGCCACTGAAGGAGGGCGACTTGGACCGGCAACCGGCAGCATGTCGTTTGGCACTCCAAACGATGAGTGATTGTATCACTTCACTGCGTCAAGCTGCAGAGTGGGGAATGGGGGCAACTGGAAAAGTTTATCGGTAGTTAATGCTTCCCTTGCCGTTTAATCCAGTGGTTAGGGGCGCCGCCAATCGAACATGCATGTTTCGACTGTATAACTACCGTGTACGCCGTACAGGACTTAATTAAATCAAGAATGTTTTCGGGTCATAATAGTTTACAAATATGCATAATTGCATGTTACTCTTCTGAATTGTATACTTCATATTTGTATGCTGAGTATCTCCATGAGCAAAAAACCAAACCAAGTTTCATCATGAATTCCATCATCCCCGCCGTTTCTGCAATGTGAGATAATTTGTCCAACTTTTGGTCCCATTATACAGATATCCTGAACACGCATTGACGATTAGACACACTCTAAGTCAAAATATTTGTATAATTTGTGCGAAATCCCTGCAAATATATCCAATTCCACTCGTTCTATGTGAAATTATTGGTTATGTCCAGCATCCTTAGACCTCCTTCTCGACATCACAGTTGCTGTACTACCTCTCGGTAAGAACGGATGGGAAAAGGTGGAACGCTGGTTCAATCGCTTGGCTGAACCAAAGCTTCTCCCCATACGCGACGTAGATGCACTAAAGCGCAAGTTCTTGCTTCTCAAGAACCACGCCAAGCCGACTGGCGATCCTGACTGTCCCGAAGAAGTGCACAGCGCATTCAACGCGACATCGACCTGTCGGCGTCAGTGCTGTCTCTCGACGACGACTTCGAAGAAGGTACATGCATATCAACCCCAATCTCTGAACGACGTTCCGTAGATACCCTGCTCACCCCACCGATGCAAGAGCGCCCCCTGATCACGAGGACGACGAAGATGTTGGCCGTACTGAATTGCCCTGCTCGGATTTGCAGCTCCGATTTGCCTGCTGGGTGCTGTCGTACACGGCGAAAAAGCGTCGTTCGATCGACAAGTTTATCGACGGCGCTGCCGATGCTGATGCCAAAGCGTCATCCGATATGATGACATTGTTTCTACTGATGGACGAGTGGGCGGCGAAGCGATCGTGAACGAGAAGTGCGGGAGGCGCGCCGCGAAGAAATACATCTTCTAATGACTTGCCTCGACCGGACTTCTTTGCCATGGCGAACGAAGATCTGTGGCAACACCATTCATCGACATCTTGAAGAACTACATGAATCAATATTTGAAGTATAAGATAACAAGGTGCGGATGCGAGTTGGGTGGTCGCAAATGGTTTGTTTGCGAAGATGAAAAAACCGTCTTCGCAGACTTGAGAGCGTACTTTTATTTAAAAAATGTCGCAGATCCAACCGGAAGAAAATTTGATTTGCAAGATATTTGGCAGTCACCCAATGATACTTTTGTGGTGAAACCACATCGTCAAACCAACATTGTGGGCCAACATTTCAATGGATCCATCATTCCCGGGAAGACCAACATTCCCTGGAGACCTGGGGTACCCCGTGTTCTCTGGGTATCTTGATTGCGTTTCAACAGTGGGATTGGATGTTGGGAGCGTTGACGATTGCGTGTCAAAGGTGAGACTTGGTGTTGGAGTTGTTGCTGGTTGTCTGGTCATAGGCCTACGCTTTCAGTAACAATCACGCTAGGCATCACTTCCTTGCGAGTCAGGATTATGTTGCAATGTCTGTTGCATATGCGGATTCATACGTTTTGGCGCCACCGGTGCCAGATGTCCGAGCTGCTCAGTAGCCGCTGCAGATGCAAAGGATTTCGACCAATTGCGACCAGTGCTTTGGTCCAGAATCGCCCACCATACCTAGCCCTAGAGGTGTGACGACAGCATGGGAAGCCTGGACCAGATCGACGAGGGATTTTCGCTGATCTTACATAACATACATAATAACTGTTCACATTTTGCAGTGTATGGCTTAGACCCTGCTCAGTACAGTCCTTGAACGACCCACCCAAAGAAGTCTGCTGTTGAAGTCCGTATTCGCTTGTCGACCAAGTGTACGAAACCCGCATCGCCCTCAAAACCAGTACCAGCCAAGTCCTCAGTACAGAATGTTGCTGGATTTATTCACTGCGCGTCACTCCATACTCCTTGCGCGGAGTCACCCTCGACTCCACCCGAGGCGAACTTGACCCGACTTCCCCGCGCTCCCCGGGTTCCCTGAGTCGACTCGTCAACCCCCTGTGTTCCCGACCTTCCCAGCTACCCCGGCTCTCCCCGGGTTCCTTGAGTTGCCTGTCCTCCCCGAACATCCCCTTGTGTGCTACGTCGGTGATCTTTGCCCCATTGACGTCAAGCCTCCGAAACAACCCTCGATGTCTTATTATTGTCAGCCTTCATATCATCACGATTGGTGCGCCTGTCGGGAGGAAGTTTCAATGGTTCACCAAGGAAGTACACGAGGGGATTGTGTACTTCCTTGGTGAATCCATTGAAACTTCTTCCCGACAGGCGCACCAATCGTGATGATATGAAATCCCCTCACCTGCCCCCCCAACACCGTATCAAGAAATGGAAGAGGAAACCGAAGATCGTAAGAGAGAAATCACGTTAACCGAAGAGCTTCCATCGGAACAAGCGGCCAAACAAGCTCGATTGAAAGAAGAAATGGAGCAAGCGAGTCTCAATGCATTGATCCATGGGTACAACTGGCTTTGAACAAACGACAAGCACAAATCCCCTGACCGAATCATTCAAGAACCGAGAAAAACTGTACGCGGGTATGGATTTCCGAACGGCCAGCTGGAACCCAACAGTTCCCCCCATCGACCAAGTGGGCATACGATTCGCCAAAACCAGCAAAGGGAGCACGACCTCCTCGTGGTTGCCCAAGGACGAGGAAGGTCAGAATGAACACCATGAAGGCAAGGATCAAGGCGATGCCCCTGGATGATCAACCAACTTGTTTCAAGAAAGAACTGATCGACCTGATGACCGATGAAACCAACGCCTGGGCGAAATTCCTCCAGCCGGAGTTTGGTACATGGAGTGATGGAATCAAACGCGCCTCGTTGGATACCATAGCCCCCCTCCCACTTGACCCCTACAAAGAAATGACGCTGGACGAATGCCGTATCTGACTTCCTGGCTGGAGAATGTGTTCCGATGCTAAATGTCAACATCAGAGAAGCGGAAGACGACGAGGATTACTCGTGGTATTTGGAATCATACTCGGTGGTCGTGGGCTCTCGAGAATACCTGGCACTCAACCAAAAACTCGTCAAGATGATATCTCTGCTGCACTACGTAGTCCAATACAGCCAAACCTGCTTCCGTGAGTCGCAGCGACAAGAAGCGGCTTTGTGGATTCATGAAAACATCAACCCATTCGCGCCGCCCCTCGAAGTGCGAAGTATGTCCTCCCACTCCCACGCTACTACTCTGGTCCGATCAAACGTTAACACTTTTTTCGCCATTGGCGGATTTTTCTAATTTTTGCCTTTAACCAATCTAATTGGCTCACAAGAAAGAGCAAGCTCTCAACTTTGATTGGATGATTTCCGACCAAACTAATTCCTTTTTGCTCAAAAGTTATGGCGGCAAGAATTTGTTCACACATTCGTTAGCAAACATAACGACCCCTGAGGTCTCATATTGCATTATCACCCTTCCTGGTCAACACACTTCCTCTTGCAAAGCGATCTTTCTAGTCAACTATGCCTTCGCCATGCTCTCAACAAGAAGCTCACCGATGCTCAACGCCATTCCATCTACGAGATGCTTCTGGAACGAAGCGTAGCCGGAGAACTACCCCATGATTGAGCAACACAACCTGCCCGACTATTCAACTGCATGAGACAGACGATTTCGAACGTGTGGGCAAGAGGACGCCTCTTACTACGCAGCGGTAGCACGACGGCCGACGTGTCGGCAAAATACAAGGGTAAAACCTCTCTAATATAATATTTCTGCGTCAGACTATAATTTTGTACATGTATTAATTCAAAGAGTTTTACGATGTTAGGGAATCAAAACCGAAAGATTCAATACTCTGATGAAGAGATTGAGAGTTTGATTCGGGCTGTCCCTTTGCATGACCGACAAACGATGCGTACACTAGCAACCAAGACAGGTCTCTCGAAGACAACGATCATTCGTCACATGCAGCGAGCAAAGACATTAAAATTCAAGTCAAGCCATTCGAAGCCGTTCTTAACGGAAGCCAACACGAAGAACCGTGTGAAGCACGCGCTTTCGTTTCTTCGGTCGTCGTCGAATGGAACCATTTTCGACAACATGAACTCATATGTACATGTTGATGAGAAATGGTTCTTTTTGACGACAGTCAAGAAGTCTTTCTATGCTTACGACGATGAAGAACTTCCGAAGCGCCAGCTCAAGTCCAAACAGTATATTACCAAAGTCATGTTTCTTGGGCAGTCACACGACCACGATATGATCCCCACAAAAATGCATTTTCGATGGAAAGATCGGCAGATGTAGCGCCGTCGATCAAGAATGAGTCCGTCACACCGAGCCGACGCAGCTCTGCCCAAGCCTCCATTGGTACGAGAGACACCATGCAAAGTGCGGACCCGGTGCTACCACAGACCACAGTTGGCATGGTGGCCTAGATGTTGGAGCAAAATTTGGACCAGAAAATGGAGGGCATTCGGGCTACGTTGGACGCGTTCATGTTCGAGTCTGACTGTCGGAAACCTCGACGGATCAAGAATTTCCAACAATTTCAACTCCAAATCCGCCAACTTGTGGACAGCATCGAACGTCAAGACGTACACGTTGGAAGAAATACGTGACATCTTCAACCAATTCGGATTGTCCGCGGGCCAACAACACCTCCCTCAAAGGCTTCCCCATGGATTACAGCAAAACCACAATCAAACCACCACCATGTATCGACCTACAAGCGCTGGAAGCTTGCAAAGTGGCCCACAGCGTGGTGAACGGATGCAGCCAACCAGAGGAGGACGAGGTATCACATTCAAGATGGAACAGACTACGAGCCCTCCGTCAATTTATCTGGTGACCCAGATCCCCGAGAGGCCTGGGGAAGGTGGCAACCCTGGGTACAGCGGGGACGATGAAGACCTCTGGGATAATTTGCCGTCTATGGGACATCAAGGGGCTATGCATGTGCTTTCCATGGACTCTCCGCCCGTCTTCTCCGGCAGCGAAGACAACCGCGAGGCGTCGTATCAATGGATGTGACTCTACGAACAATTGCCACGGCTATGTATCAGGGTGGACGGAACAAGAAAAAATCGCTTGGTTCCCTTCGTACCTGAGCAAGACTGTACGAGCCTGGTTCAACCAACTGCAGCAAGGATATCAAGAGAAAGTTTGCAAAGGAATGGATCATCTACCCGCTGCCAAAAGCCGACAAGTACTAACGCATGACACAATAGCCGAAGGAGCCATTGAAGACGTGCTTCTACCAATTCAACAGTGCAGCCCAAAGCGCGAGGATGGAGTTCTGGAAGTCAGCCAGCATATTGGAAGACCACATCAGGCGCTTCTGCATAGCCCTGGAAGATGACTCGTTGGGAGACCGCCTATCTCAAATGGTGTTCATGACGACGTTGACCGACACCTGGACTCGCAGCGGAAGAACCAAATCCAGCACCAGTTCATGAACCGTCAGGTTGATACGTCTAGCTCGGGCATCCGTGACTCGGGACAAGAGCCTATCGATGGAATGTCAAATCCTCCTAGCCAGAGAAGACTCCGACTACAACAGCCCAGCAGTGACCAACACACCCAATGAGCAATTACACCTCGAAATTTCCGCGCTGGGTGGTAAAAAGGAGTGGTGTTCCAGTTGTAGCAAGGAGCACTGACGTGTGAATGGGGAAAGCTGGATGGAACAGTTCTACAGTCTGTGGAAAAGAAATGGTCATCCCACCGACAAATGTATCAAAGCCTGCCAATTCTGCAAGCCGACCCACAACATGTGTGAACGATGCGAAACGCGGGTGAACGATGCGAAACGCGGGAGCAGATCATCTCGGTCCGAACTTATCTCGAAGCACTAGCCAAATCGGGAAGCTGGATGGCCTGCCCAACATGGATCGTTTAAACTTGTAAGCCCGAGAGTGGTGCTCCACTCTAGTTACGCCGGACTCAAGCAGGCAAATACGCAATATGGTGGTGAGGAACGAACTCAAGACGGCGGTGAAGATAACAACGAAAACCCAAGAAAAAGAACCCACAAAAACAACGCATCAAGCGAAAGCCAAGCTGAACAAGCTCACGCATCTGCATCACGACACCAAGCGGCCTCGAATTTCCAAACCTCTCAGTCGGCCCAAGCATCTCAGGTGACCCAGGTAGCCCGGTAGCCCGGGGTTCCCGAGAAACCCTGCGCGACTTGGCCTCACGCCTCTCAAGAAAAAAGACGTGCCCTTGTACCCTATGGCCTTGGAAGTTCAAGAGTCCTAGCGACCGTAGCTGCGTGGAAAGCACAAGAAGCGCAGGCGAGATCTTCTAACTTGCAATACATCTTACGATCCCCCACCTCATGTCCCGCGAGTGTGTTTCGCCAACTCCACGACGTCCCTACCCGAAGTGTTCGACTTGTTAGAAGCAGAACAACTTGGATACTGGAGAAAGTCGGACTTCAGCGATCGAGCTCGAAGTGATCAAGCTTTCCTCGATGCCGCAATTAACGTGCCTGCCCGCATACTGGCTGACACTGGCGCCAGCCTCAGTATTATCCATAGACGGAAGGCAGAACGTTTAAACTTGAAGGTGGACACATCCAAACGAATCGGCATCAAGGGTCTCGGTTCAAACAGTGTCAGCACCTTTGGCATGGTGACTATCAAACTTACCATCGCGCGCGGCATTGTGTTCATCTTCAGCTTGTCAGTGTGTGACATTGGACCGGTGGAGCTCTACATGATTCTGAGGATGGATTTCATGTCCAAGGCTGGCTTCATCATCGATACTGGCAATCGAGTTTGTTGCTGTATGCATCGATGGTTGCCTTGATGCCGGGCTCGTCCTTGTACGCCTTGACCAGGTCGCGATGATCCTGGTCGATGGAAGCGACGTCGTCTGCGTTGAAGAAAAGATGCACCGGTGCCGAGGGGGCATCAGGATGTCGTCCAGGAACAGTTTGGGACGCATCTTAGCCAGGTCGACCGGCATGCACGCCGGCGCCTCCAACACGGCAGCGTGATTGATCTCGTCGCGCTCTGCCTGCATCTTCTGCAGCCCAGGCGAGGCAGGGTTCCGTTCCCATGCGTTATACCACAATTTCTAGATTTTCCTTAATTGAGGTATATTGTCGGGCGGTGATTCAGGTATATTAGGTATCTATTTATAGAATACCTACAATAAGGAGGCCTGGAGAAGACTGAAGGGCAACATAGGCTTAAGTGTACATCGCATTGGTGGTAAGCGAAGACGATGGGATATTGCGTTCGATCCTTATCCTCTCCACTGTGATCCGTATGCCCTGGGCACCATGGGTGCCCTGATATGCTTGAATCACCTGGGGTATCTGAACTCGTTGTGGTGTGCGTTGATGACTCCTGGTTGTTTTCACGCTCGTTACTCTGACAAAATGGTTGCTTTTCTGTGGCGGTTGCCTGGCAGGTGTTGCATCCGAAGGGCTACGTTGAACAGCTCGTTCGTCACTCCTTGGTGTCCCAGGTATCCCAGGGGTGCCGGTGTTCCCTGGGTCCCCTAGTTCTTCGGGACGGATCGGCAAAGCGTTCAACGACCGGAGGGGGTCATCATCAGTTGCACTACCCTCACCATTGGTGTCCACACAATCATTACACTGGCTACGTCGTCCAGCTCGTTCGTCACTTCTAGATGTCCCGGGGTACCTTGGCTCTTCGGCGGGGGTCGGATCAGCGGTCACTGAAAGTGGAAGGTGATTACTCTTGCTATCTGCACAACCACCACCCTGGCCAGACTGTGCAGCCAAAGTTAAATAGTTGGCCATGTCCACGGGGATCGCGCCATTGCAATCATTGTGTGCGCCCTGAGTATCTCGTCCCTGCTTCTCATCATTCCCCGAGGTACTGGGGAGGGTTGTGTGTGACAGAAGGTTGGATGATATCGCCGCAAACGCCGATCCGATAGATTGTCCCGTCGAGATCTTTGTTCACCAAGAGGCGACCGGTGCTAGCCTATGTCTATGAAGGGTCAGGTCCTTGCAAGGAGGACTTATATCACGCACGACACCAAGCGGCAAGCTGTCCAAAAGGGTAAACGCTTCAGCAACGAAAGTGGAATCGTCGGAGGCCTAATCCTCGAGATCTCAAGTAGGAGGCACTTGTTGCGGTGGTCGAAAAGATGGCATCATCAGGGGCAATAGTTAAGGTGTCTGAAGTAAGCACGGGCTCAACCTGCCCACCTCCCCTGCGATGCCCCGGGTGTACGGGGCTAGGTTGGGTGGTAATGCTGAGGTTGCCCGCACATCTCGTTCTTTCACATCTTCTGCATCCGATTCGACTTCAGTTATCGTCGGAAGCGGAGCTGAGCCATCTTGGTTTCCACGTCGTAGGATGCGTGTAGGTCTTGGATTTGTAGGATGACAACAGCGGGGGGTTCGTATGCCTGGTTGAAGTGTCTCATTTGGTTCAGCATACGTTGGATCGCCCGCACTTAAAGGGATATGTCCTAATATGTGCGCTTCGGTGTCTGACCAATCAGCGGCCATCTCCTCGTAGGGGAAAGACTCCACATCACTCATCCTAATTCGTTTTCCCTTGTTCTGCGCTCTTGTCCTCCTGGGCATACGCTGTACTCGGTCGCTGCCTTCCTCTTCCCCTTCTAATTGCTTGGGCCTACTGTACTTTGCCTTCTTGACATACTGGTTGGAGCCTGTAACAACTGTTCAGTGCATTATCATCTGATTTTGGGCATCTAAACCAGGACTGTGCATTTCTAACAGTTAAGAACACATTATGCTTCTTTCTATATATAACTATTTGAA